TAACTTGGGAGCTATTCTCTGATCCACTATTTTCTGGAAAAGTTTGTACATCATTTGTATTGTTTCTTCCTTAAATGTTTGATGGAATTTACCAGTAAACTCACCCAGGCTTGGAGTTTTCTTTATGGGAAGGTGTTTACAAGTTTAATTTGTTTAATAGACATAGGGATAATCAGATTACTATTTCTTCTTAAATGAGCTTTACTAGTTTATCTACTTTCTTGATTTTTCAAATAAATCTAGTTAAAATTTTTCAATTGAATTGATCTTTTCAAAGAATAAACTTTTGATTTCATTTATCATTAATTTCTCTATTGTATTTTTCTATTTTATCACTTTCTCTTATTTTTATTATTTTTACATTTATAAGTCTATTTTCTTAAGATGGAGACTTAAATTATTGACTTATGACCTTTTATCCTTTCTCTAATATAAGCATTTGATGCCATAAATTTCCCTCTAAGCACTACTTTAAGTGTAGCTCACAATATGTTGTATTTTTACATTAATTTAATTAAAACATTTTCCAATTTAGCTTGTGATTTCTTCTTTGACCTATGAATGTGTTGTTTAAATTATTTGAAGATGTTTTAGATATGTTTCTATTTTTTTATTTCTAGTTTAATTCAATGTGTTCGGGGATCATATTTTACACAATTTGAATCATTTTAAATTTATTGTATTATCTTGATGAATGATGGATATGCTCTTGAAAAGAATGTGTATTCTGCTTTTGTGAGTGAACATTTTTATAAGTTAGGTAAAACAGTTGAAAGCTTTGTTCAAATATTCTATATATATTTTTTCTACTTGTTCTATTTATTCCTAAGGGTAAAGTATCGAAATCTTCAACTGTAGTTGTGGATTTCCCTGACTTTCTTTTTTCTGTTTTGTCAGGTTAAGGGTTTTTTGTTGTTATTGCAGTTTGGCTGGGGTCAGGTTTGAACCCACCACCCTTGGTATATGGGGCAGGCGCCTTGCCCGCTGAGCCACAGGCATCACCCCAGGTTAAGGTTTTTTAACTATATTTTGAAATTCTATTATTAGATTCTTGTTTCATTTTTCTCTTTTCCTGCATTTTTATCAATTTCTTATTTTTATAATTCCTTTGATCTTATTTATTGGATTTTTAGGTATAACTTATATATATATGTAGGTATGTACTTATTTTTGGTTAGTAGTTGTTACAGGACTACAGTAATTACTTTTAATTTATTGTTTACCTTTAAATAAGATTATACCACTTTGCATATATTATAAACTATTTTCAACAGCATACATTCATTTTCCCCACTCTGCCTTTGTGTATTGTTGTTATACATTTTATTTTACATATGTAAACATCATCAAACAATGTCATAATTTTTGCTCTAAGCCATTCGTTTTCTTCTAAAGAAATTTAGAAGGATAAAAGTAATTTAAAAATTGTTACTTACCTTGTGGGGCCATTTTTAGCATTCTACCATCAAGTAACCTTTGTCTTCTACTCAGCGCAAGGTCTAACACATAGGTCAGTTTCCTGACACTGATACTGATCAATACATAAACAAAGTTATGAATTGATCAGTTTGGAAGGAGATTCATAGGAACTAATCTTATGAGAAATAGTTATGTATTCAGTAAGTCAGTATTTCTCATGACTTTATAGAAAGTAATTATTACCAATAAGAAGTGACTGTACATGTGTGTGGATACTGTGTGTGTATGTAAGCGTATCTGGATACACATATACACACACAGTGTATCTGCTGGTGTACTCCTAAAGTACCTCTGGGAGTACCTGCAAGAAACCAAAAACATTGATGACATCTGGAATAGAATGGGATGGAGGGGCTGGGAAAAGGAGCGGAAAGGAGCCTTTCACTGTATCTGCCTCCTTCTGTATCTTTTAATTTTTGAACTAAGTTAAATGTGGTACTATTTACAGATAAATACAAATTTAAGACAAAACCAATGAGGCACATATAAACTAGTCAAATTCATAGAGACAGAAAGTATAATGATGGTTTCCAGGGACTAAAGGCAGGGAGAATGAGGAATTATTCCTGGGATGATGAAAAAGTTCTTTAGATGGATGATAGTGACGGTTGCACAACAGGGAGAATATGCTTAATGCCCCAGAACTAAACATTTAAGGTTGGTTAAAATGGTAACCATTATGCCACGGTAATAAGGTGGGGGTGCTTCTCTCAGGTCTCCTTTCCTGGTCCAATTATTCTCTTGAGCCCCGCAGTGGATGCTCATTGGAAAAGCTAGTGAGTGAGCGCATGCTCTCTTGTCCCTGGAACATCTGGGATCCTAAACTGCCATGCTATTCCTATAGGTCTTAAGTTTTTCCCTAAATTTTTAGTTGTTTTCCTTTTATCTGCTTTTATAGCTCTTACCTCTTCCTTCCATGCTCTTCCCAGGATAAAACAATCTGAATGTCTTATCTGTCCTCGTTCGGGCCTATTGCCCTCTGAAATCCACATTACCTATGTATCTTTCAACCTTTATTAGCTTTCACTATCTTTACAAGCTCTTTGATGGGCTCAGAATTCTGTAGATTATCCATGTTTTTCTCAGTGTTAGTGTGGGAGTGACAATAAGCAGAAGCAAAACTTCTAACATCTGTCTCAATGTGTTACTCTTATTAGATTCTAAATTACCCAAGGACCTCAAAGTGACCCACTACCTAAAAATAAAACTCAGTAACCAATATTCTAGAATCTTCTAATTCTATTGACACTTCAAATATCATATATTCCTCCCATTTTAGCTTCAAGCTATTATAATGTTAACTTAAGTTAAATTACATACAGAAATCAAATAACGTGGCTTTTACCTGCCACACCATCTGCTCACGGGTTTCTGGTAGTCTCTAGGGGCTGTGCACCTAGGGAGATCTCATTTCCACGATTTCTGAGCAGTTCCATAGGCACTGTCACTGAGCACTGTGGTCTCTCTTCAGATCTGCACGGAACACAGCAGTTTCCTGGCTTAGGATCACCATCATACTGTCACACATCTCCTTCCCATCTCCAGTGCAGCTTGTCCAGAGATAACCATCACTGCTGTCACTGTGGGCTGCAAACAGGGCCCCAGAGCTGTGCACAGCTCTAGAGAGCAATGAAAGAGAATGGTTCTCTCCATTTAGGGTTATGTACTGTATGAGGCATCCCAAAGCAGGATTGTATTACAGAATTTCCAGTTTGTTCTTCAATTTTATCCCCCCATAGCCATGTGGGCATCGGAGCTAAGGGCAGATTTCAGTTAATAGCAGTATGTCCTCAGAATCCCTGCTCCCCGGGGAAATACAGTTTCCACTGATGGGAACTCTTCGTGCTTGGCTTCTTCCCTCAGGCTAGGACCTACCACAGGAGGCTTCTTCCAGGCCATCCCACCAGCAACCAGAAACACCCCATTACGTTTGAACTCCAGCAGTGTGTGTAGCTGGAATCCACAGAGACACAGCACCAATCAGAAGGCTCTTTTGCCCCCAGAGCAAATAGCCATCTGTCACATTAACTAGATTCGTCTGAACTCTTTGCAATAGTCTGTATCTTCAGTTGCAATTTCCACACTGAAAATGTTTTTCATTAGCGAAGGTGCTTTTTCCCAAAGGACCTTAGCAAAATACAAAGCAGGCTCAAATGCTCACAGTGGAACTGGAATCAGTACATTTTAATCATGTGAATGGATATTTATAGGTTTTTATTTTTGAGGGTAGTGAGATGGTGAGAGAGGACATATGTGTTCAATGTCAAGAACAGAAATGGCCAGAGAATTTAACTTTCAAGAAGTGATTTAGTGAACCCAAAGAAAGAATAAGAGCATTTCACAACAAAACAAAAATATGTTCTTTTTTTATGAGACTAATATTTTAATGAAAAATGAACAGCATAAACACTTAAAAGGGTAAATGAGTGTAAACATCAAAGGTGTACACTCACTGTACCAGACTACAAAATCTCAAGTTCTCATACCTGGGATTTTTCTGATTATTAAAACATGTATTATAATATTTCAGATCATTGGGATTTAAGAACAGAACTGGAGACCCTTTTTTTTTTTTTTTTTTTAGAGATAGAGTCTCACTTTTTCGCCCTCGGTAGAGTGCAGCGGAGTCGCTCCAGCAACCTCCAACTCCTGGGTTTAGGCGATTCTTCTGCCTCAGCCTCCCAAGTAGCTGGGACTACAGGCGCCCGCCACAACGCCCGGCTAGGAGACCCTTTTTTATGTTTTCTTAAATTTATAATTTGTACAGGAGACCCTTTAAAAGTATTTGTGCTAAATTCACAATTAATACTGCAATACGGAAAAATGAGTACTTGTTATTCACTTGCTTGTTTCCTGCCTTCAACACATGCCATCCAGTTGCAGAGAAGTCCTTCTCACCACCTCCACTCTCATACCAGCATCTCTTGTCTTTCTCCCTTCTTCTACTTCAGATTTCCGCTACTCTCACGTGTGCTTTTGAATAAGTCCTTTAAATGACTCTGTTCTTTATATTAACCTTAGAGTGTAGTTGTGCCAATGGAGTCATCTTCCTCAGTGATACTTGGATTCTAAAACGTTATCTCCAACTGTGTACTGAAAATATTCTTTTAAATGAAAACCCAGTAACAGCTGTCCTGGAGACAAAAGCAAACTTGATTCAAAGCCCTCCATGCCACAGGCTTGAAATCCAAAGCCCTCCTTGTGATTTTTGTGTGAATTTCCCATAGCGAGGCTCTCGGTGTTCCCTGCCAATGGCTCCTGAGTCTGCCCATCCCGTCTCTGCTGTGCACCAGCTTAGACTTGGAAGTCAGTGTCATTTTTTGAGTTTGGTAGGATTTGCTGATGATTTAAAGTCACATTGCACAGCGCATATCCCTCTAACAATCTTACCTGCTCCATTCTACCTTTTTCCCTCTTTGAACAGTAGTTGGGAAGCCTGCTGGGAGAAAGCCAACTTTAGCAGGTGAGTGAAGACTAGAATTCCAGCCGTCTGTGGAGACCTGCAGGAGAGGGCTTGGGCAATGGTGGCCATGGCATATGGGCAGTTCTTAGAAAGGAACACGCCTCTACGCACTCAGCAGTGTGGTCAGCAGCAATTAAGGATAATGTTGCTGCAGCAGGGAGGAGCAGCTAGAGTAGGCAATTAATCTAGCTCCTGAAGACAGAGGCTTTGGGGGATGAGATGAAGTCAGCCAGCACAGCCCTGGTCATGCTTCTAACTCTTGAAAGAACAGCTCCTTCTGTCTTAAGACAGGATTCCTGCAGATGATACAAATGTAACTTCACTAAGCTTTTAATTTTTGAAAAACATGAATACATGTATAACTGTCTCTACTGCATGGCCCAAACTCAATAATGCCTCCTCCTTCAAAAAAAACAGACAACTTCGTAGTTATCAAAGACAGTTCAAGATAATTCAGATATGCTCCCTCTCTTAAAGGCCTATGTTCTTATCCCGTAGTCAAGTGTCGTAAGCATCCTCTCTTGCAGCTCTGCCATTCTCAAGGTCTTTCACGTAGATATAAGTTGCTCCATGAGAAATTCTTTCTCCCTCTCCAACTCCTGATGTAAAATTTCTTAAAACCTGCCCTGCTGGGCTCTTTTAGTATTCCCTGTCTTTCCTAGGTTTACTGAATTTTTTCTTCAATTTCCAGTATAAATTCTTTAGCTAACACTTCTCCTGTTATCTAATTAATTAGACCTCATAATAATAAAATGACCACTGGGAAAAGAGGATGGAGAAGGACAGCAGGGAGGACTGCATGGTCAAAGGGACCAAGTCAACAGGGCTAGAATTTCCTTTCCTTTCGTTGCTGATAGCACTTGTGCAAACATAATGAACAGTCCTAAAATCCACCAAACTTTCTCTAAGAAGAATGGCAAGTACCAACGCCACAAAGTGACACACTACAAGAAAGGCAAGGATTCTCTGGGCCCCCAGGGAAAGCAGCGTTATGACAAGGAGCAGAGTGGCTATGGTGGGCAGACTCAGCCAATTTTCCAGAAAAAGGCTCAAACTACAAAGAAGATTGTGCCGAGGCTTGAGTGTGTCCAGCCCAACTGCAAATCTAGGAGAATGCTGGCTATTAAGAGATGCAAACATTTTGAACTGAGAGAAGATAAGAAGAGAAAGGGCCAAGTGATCCAGTTCTAAACGTCTTTTGTTTTATTATGAAGACAGTGAAATCTTGAGGTTATGGTCACTTCACCTGGTTCAGTTGGTCTCTGGGGAGGGAATACACTTAGAGCCATCCATAAAACTCCCTCGGCAGGTAAATTAAAAAAAAAAATACTAGAATTTCCGGAATGTTCCTATGGGCAAGGGAAAAATCAGAGATTATGAGTATTTATGCATTATCTGATTTTATCTGTATTGTTCAAGGAAAACAGGATTCCTTAGACAGGATCAAGGTATTTTTTGAAAGGGAAAAAACATTTCTCTCCCACTTTTATATCTGAGTAAAGGCCTTCATTGCAAAAACAAAAACCAGAGGCTTAGAATGGGATTTTGGGAGGCTGGCATAAACAGAAACTCATGGCCCTTGTTCACTAGACCTACTTAAGCAGGTCCTTCCTCCCAGAAGAGACCACCATGATGAAAGCCTTAGTCTTCTTAGACTTCTGAGATCACTGAGCAATGTGTCCAGGAAACTTCAGGGGCCTGCTCTGTCATTTGCTTTCCCCCCCTCACATTTAGGTGGCAGATCTATGTTACTGTCCAGGACTACCATCCCCACCTGGATAGGAATTTTGCAGGACAGGGGCCGGCAAGGAATAAGGTGGGACCCTCTTACCCTGGCTGGTAACAGGGAGTCAGGTTCACAGTGTGCTCTTACTGGTAAGAGCAGTGGTTCTCAAACTTCCTAATGCTGCAGTGTATTTTCATTGTTAGAAAGGGGTTGGGACCCACAGGTTGAGAACAGCTGGGTTAGAGCATCACAAAGGGCTCACAGACCAACCAGATACAGAAACACCATCCCCCACAGCACCACAGTTTCTGGAAAACTGTTCTCAGCTGGGCATCTAAATTGATTAGAGGCCTTCCCCCAACCGGACAGCATTGGCGACCTGGCTTCTCTCCGCAAATGCTGTACACCTGGAGTTCTCGGTGCAGTGAATGAAACTTTTCCTGCACAGCAGAACTCAGGCCAAGTATGTTGGAAATAAGATAACCTCCTGCTGAACACCCCTTGCACCTCTACCTGAGGGACAGAAGCGTGTTTCACTGACCTTGGCCTAGTAATCACCATGTATTAGAATGCCTGGTTTCCATTTTAGTCACTGATGTCGATTCCAAACAGGTTCTACTCTTATCACACATTTATAATCAATCTAATATCTGTTTAGAATCTACATACACTATTCATATTTTAAAACAAAAGTACAATCTAAGACATAACTCATTAGACTGGTGAATAATTATAAGGCAATGATACCTTTGAATCAAAAGATAAGCTTCATAACAATATTGCAACAACAGTAGAAGCTTGACAGACATCGAATACTTCCTGAGTGTCCAGCACACACTGCATTATTGCCCATAATCCCCGTCCACTCCTCTCTGATTCTCAGGACTGAGGATGGATTCTGGCCCCAGAAAATGGAGACGGCATAGAAGACACAAAGTAACCACCGGTTTTATTCTAGTACAGTTGCAAATACACTTCTTCATTAGGAGAGTGGATGCAAATGTGCACAATTTAAGTGAAGCCTTGCCGAATTACTCAGAATGGGAAGGCAATGTTAGAAGATTTGCAAAGGAACCTTGGAGAGACAAACAAGAGAGCCCCAGGTGGTAATGGCCATCTCATTTCCTGCCTGCACTCTCTCACCACACTACTTCTCTGTTTTTCTGCCTTGTAAATCAGCAAAATGAGAGCCTGGAGACCATAAAGCCCACAGCCTAGGATCATGAGTAAATGTGAGATTCAAAATCAGCTACAACAGAACAAAGTTCTCACGTGAGTTTCTCCTTCTGTGTCGCTAAGAAGAGGATGAAGAATGCTGCTAATTAAACCTGGCTGTGAAATGAGTTTTAGTTCCTGTCTGTGAATGAGTTGCTGAAATTCATCTTCTTAGACCCCTTAGTATCCAGCTCCCTTCCCACTGGCTTGACCTAACATAAGAGACTGTGGTTGGTGGAAGGGAAAGAAAATGCATAGTTTAGCTTCTGAGAAACAGGACTTCTCCAAAGTTCTGTAATTAATCTACTCTCTCCAAAACTGATGGTCTGTTTCTGCCACTCGAACCCCAACAGTAAACCACACAAATGATTTATCTTCTTACCTACTTGCAGTAAAGGAAAGAATAATGAACCAAGGCTTGCAAGACTAAATTCTTATCCCAAATCTCAACTAAGTGATCTTTGCCTACGTGGTTAACCTCTCTGGAGTGTTTCCTTAATTGAAAAAAGGAAGTTGCACCAGGTGGTCTCTAAAGGCCCTTCCGATTCTGAAACTCAATAGTGTAAGTCACCTGGAATAAAAGCACTTTCATCATCTAAAAGGCTCAAGTTTGAACTCAGCTGTAACCCATCATGCATAGCAAATGGCCCCTTGAGTGGAAATTGCTTCCTGGAAGTATTATTGATAAGCACTTAATTTTCATACCAGACTTATATTTCCTATAAGAATTACCCAGTCCCTTATTTAAAATGTGATTCAATTTCAGTTATAGTTGCAACATTGATTTGAGTATAAAATTTCCATGTAAAACACATTTCTTCTAATTACTGAATTTTACTCTGCTCAGTAGCTAAGAGAGAAATGGGTAGGTGATCCTTCAATAGCCCTAGGTGTTTTTTTTAATTAGTAAGTAGAAAAAGGGCTCAAAAATACTTTTGAATTAATGAATCCTATAAACACGTATGAAAACAAATATAATTTAAAAGCTGTTGGAACCCCCAAACACTTCTTCTGAGAGATGTGCCTGAGCACTGACTCTCATAGGTGGTTACAGTTTCTGTTTCTCCAATTACAGGTTAACTCACTTTCTTATTTTTCTTGCTCTATACAATGACTAGAGAGAATTAAACCAGGTCGGAGTCAAAAACCTCCTTATCTTATTAATTAATGGTACTTGTTAGAGATTAACCTCTCCTTTGTTGTCCTGCTTTGCTTAGACCAGATGACAGAAAACCTGTGACAATTACATTCTCTGTAAGATCATGTTAAATGTACACTTCCCAAAAAGAAACACTACCTATAACCAATCGAATTGCTGTAACTGGGTGCTAACCCAGTATAATGTGATCCTGCTAAAAACTCCTCTGACTCTGCCTATATAATTGAAATCTTAATTTCCCCACTTTGGAATCCTGACGCCATTTCTTTGGAGTTGGTGTTTTCCAGTGGGCCATCCTCACTTTGTGCTTAAATAAACTTTCTTTAAATTATGAATGGATTCTAACCCTTATGATTATTTTCCATTGACATTTTGGCAACCCAGACGGGACCTGAAGTAAGCTCCATCTGAGTCCCACTGCTCAGCAAACAGCGGGGACCCTGGTACCAGCACACACTATTTGCGTCCAGCTTTGCTGGAGATGCAGGAATCTCCAGTAAGATCTCTCTTGGGTTTCCTGGCTGTGGTCTTTATTCAAGTGATTTGATTCCACACTTGATGGGTCTGGAATGGAAGCTCTGCTTTCAGGCTTTAACCTAGGAATTTCATTTGTTATTTCTCTAGAGATTCTGCTGCTTGCAGTTCTGTGGTTTCACTTTCCTTTGAGGTTAAGTCTTTGTTTTTCTTACTTGCTAAAGTTTTTTAACCTTTTCTCTTGTTCAAATTTGGTCAGGGAAAAAAGAATTTCTCTTTGAAAAGAGGAAATAAATATCTGTGGTTTAAGCAAAATTTGTCATTTTTAAAACTGGCCAGGTTCTGAAGCTTGGTTCAAATGACATATCCGAATTTTCTTCTTGAGTGATATTCCCGCCACAGTCTTTGATCACCTGAGAATATCCAAAATTGCATCTTTTTCCTTAAGGAGAGATCTACCTTTTACAATTCCAGCTGGGTTCATGTATGATCCTTATGAAACTATATCTTGTCCTTATTTAGAAAAACAGTTTTACGTAACTTGTGAACAATAAAAATTTTAGTGGCCACAATGTAGTACCTTTGACACACCCAAACAAATTTACTAATTTACTTGCACACTCAGTTATAAAAAATGTCAGCTCTGGGATAAGCCCAAATAATTGGGAGAGATGTTTTCAATGGTATTTAGAAGTACTCAAAAGAGGTTTTAATGAAGTTGTTTCCTTACAAGAGAACAAAAAATTGTCTAAAACAACTTCTGAATTTTAAAAAGACTTCTGAAATTTCTCCTTCTCCTTCCTCAGTTCCTCCTTCTCTTTATCCTTTATTATCTGAAACTACTTTGCCCAGACCCACCTCCTCACTCTCCTGCTCCCCCTAATCCTACTACTCTGCTTCCATTTCTCAAACAGTAAGTGTCTGCTGGGGGAGAAATTGCCCTAGTTTATTCAGCCTGGTCAAAGGTAAAACTTGAAACAATTAAGAAATTCTCTTACCCTCCTTAGGATCCTACTGGTTTTACCAGGAAATTTGACATTCAAACTTATGTCCCTGGTTCTACTTTGGCTATATAAAACGGAGAACTAACAGAACTTCTTGCTAACACAAGCCTTTATTCACACTAGGGCCACATTATCTGTATTTTTCAATTAGGTCCTTTTCAAGGGACTCGTGTTTGCCTTCTGGTTTCATCAGCCCCTATCCATCTTATAGAAAGAAACTTCTTAAAATTATATAAGACTCACATTTCTTTTGCTAAAAAAGGGAGGGAAATGTATTCAGAATTAGAAAATAAGACTGAGTTACTAGATACAACAAATTTTTCCAAATCTAATCCAGTTGCAATCCGTAGTGCCTTAGAAGACACTGCATTATTAAGAAATAAAAAATTATAAAACCTGCCAAAGGCAGTACCTGATCAATTGTGGTCAGAGCCTTCCACTAATATTGGAAGAATCTTCTCAGCTGCCCCAATCAAACTTGCAATAGATCTATCAAACCCCTTCCAACCAGGGATGGGGAACCTGCAGCCTTAAGGCCACATGTGGCCTTCTAGGTTCTTGAATGTGGCCTTTTGACCAAATCCAAATTTTATAGAACAAATTCTTTTATTAAAAGAGGTGCAGCAGAGAAAGGCGA